TGACGGCTCCGAAAACCGGGAACCGGGCTCCGAAATGGGCAAAATGGCCTACAGCCACAAAATGTATCCCACGGCCATTGAGAGATGGTCTACGGGACCTCTCCTTCCCCTCAGGAAAAGAAACAGAGAAAACCGAGTCTGGTTCGCAAACCGAGGCAAGGCATAGAAGAGGGTTCGGAAGTCCGGAGGCAGGGCTCGCAGCCGCGATTCTGAGACTTCTGAACAAGCACAACATGCAATATCACCAAGTGCTCAACTGGTGACGTCTGAGTCTCAAGGTCGGTCAAAAATGGGGTGTCTATAGTGTTCAGAATGAGCAGTGTGCAGATATGAGCTGTGTGTTTAAAGTGAACAGAATACTGTGTTGACTGTTTCACTGTCTCAAGCCAAAATGGCGATCAAAAGTGCTCTCCCTGAGTACCATTCCCCGTCAGAGTTATCTTGGCTTTTGTTTGCAATGAGGGAAAATTTTTGAATAAGATCAGAAAGAAAAACGACATCCGTGGCTTTTACATGTAGAGATTACCCCTTGTCAGTAAGAAATCATTCTACTATTCTTCCACTCGCGTGGGACGCATTTGGATTTCGAATCCACCTTTCCTCCTTTCACATGGAACGTGTTAGGATGTGACGTTTACCTGGTTAAAACCTTCCCTCTCTCCGTATGAAATACGTTGAGATATGCTTGTTGGTTACACCATTGTTTTTCTCCCTGGTTAAAACCTTCCCTCTCTCCGTATGAAATACGTTGAGATACGCCTGTTGGTTACACCATTATTTTTCTCCCTGGTTAAAACCTTCCCTCTCTCCGTATGAAATACGTTGAGATACGCTTGTTGGTTACACCATTGTTTTTCTCCATTCTCTTTCTCTGTATGAAATACGTTAAAATACGCCTGTTAGTTACACCATTGTTTTTCTCCCTGGTTAAAACCTTCCCTTTCTCCGTATGAAATACGTTGAGATACGCCTGTTGGTTACACCATTGTTTTTCTCCGTGGTTAAAACCTTCCCTCTTTCCGTATGAAATACGTTGAGATACGCTTGTTGGTTACACCATTGTTTTTCTCCCTGGTTAAAACCTTCTCTCTCTCCGTATGAAATACGTTGAGATACGCCTGTTGGTTACACCATTGTTTTTCTCCTTGGTTAAAACCTTCCCTCTCTCCGTATGAAATACGTTGAGATATGCCTGTTGGTTACACCATTGTTATTGTCCCTGGTTAAAACCTTCCCTCCCTCCGTATGAAATACGTTGAGATACGCTTGTTGGTTACACCATTGTTTTTCTCCCTGGTTAAAACCTTCCCTCTCTCCGTATGAAATACGTTGAGATACGCCTGTTGGTTACACCATTTTTTTTCTCCCTGGTTAAAACCTTCCCTCTCTCCGTATGAAATACATTGAGATATGCCTGTTGGTTACACCATTGTTATTCTCCCCGGTTAAAACCTTCCCTCTCTCCGTATAAAATACGTTGAGATACGTCTGTTGGTTACACCATTGTTATTCTCCCTGGTTAAAACCTTCCCTCTCTCCGTATGAAATACGTTGAGATATGCCTGTTGATTACACCATTGTTTTTCTCCCCGGTTAAAACCTTCCCTCTCTCCGTATGAAATACGTTGAGATACGCTTGTTGGTTATACTATTGTTATTCTCCCCGGTTAAAACCTTCTCCCTCTCCGTATGAGATACGGTTAGGTATGCCTGTTGGTTACGCCACCTTCGCACCTTTCACGTGAAACGTGTTAGGATTTGTGTTCATTTTCTTGCACTCGCATGAAACGCGTTTGGATCTCATAGTTCACCCTTTCCTTCTTTCGCGTGAGATGTGTTAGGTTGTTGATTCACTCGGTTAAAGACATCAGGTGCGCCTGGTGTTCACATTCATTTTGTGTATCTATCGCACTTATTCACTTTGTACATCTAGCACACACTTTCATTACAATTGTGGTACAGTCTCATACCTTTCTCTTGTATCTTAGGACCCGTGAAGCGCGGCCCTGGGCGTGTTTTATCTCGGGACGCGTGAAGCGCGAGCCCAAGTGGTTTCAGACCTCTTCTCACGATTTCAGCGTGGTTTGAGTGTTCCTTTCCTCACACGATTTCAGCGTGTTTCGAATTTATCTTAGGTTGCGTGGAATGCGCTCCTGATTGATTTTCTTTGTTTTGCCTCCACTCATGAGTCCAGCGTGGTTGGAGTATGTCACCCTTTGCATCTATTGTACTCTCTGTTGCATCGCATCTATTATCTATTGCATCATATCTGTTTTATCGTCTGGTCTAGGAGACCTTAAATCCCGCATCTTCATTTGCATTGTCTTGTGCACTCTCTGGTCTAGGAGACCTTAAATCTCCTAAAGGTGCAATTCCTTTGGTGGTTGTCATGCCCGAACGACTTCCAGTGGTTTGGTATAGCCATCTGCCTATGCTTGCGATGAGTTCTTAGGAGACCAACTGAGACGGTGGAAATTAGAGT